GCTTGTGACCAGTGGAGGGTCGAACTTATGAAAATTTAAAACAAATATGATTCTGCATTATATGAGCATAGGTTAGACTTCTTACCAAAAATCATCTTATTGTTGAAACTATCTATTTAAAACTTAAATGAGTTAAGTTTCTCTTATTGTGTGTTTTTCTTAATATGTACAATTTTTGCACCTAAATAAAAGCACTCTTTCTGACAGGGCTAAAAACTCTAAATATGTCTTTGAAGGGACACACTCTTTAGCTATTCAAGTAACTTATTCATTCATGACCTCCCAAAAAGTTGAGACATAATGCGGTTCTGCAGATCGTAAAAGTAAAAGAAAAACACTTTACCATAAGTTTGCCCTAAAGTTGCAGAGTTGGGCAGGATCTGTGCATAGGACACAGCGTCCGATGAAGGAAAAACCAGGGCAGACGTATCCCCGATGAATTCCTGCAGCCGTAAAAACCTGGGGGGGGGGGGGGGGGGATGCTTCTAGGCTAACTTGTGCAACTCTTTGGGATCATCCTACAAACGCAGGTGAGAAAAGTGAGGAAATGTAAGAAGGGTGCTCCAGAAAAGGAAGAGAACGTGTTAGAGGGAGAAAGAATGAGGGAGCTGGTCGACCCTGAAAAGTAGTAGAAGCAGTAGAAATAGCTGCCCCACTTGCAGACACACTTTTTTGTTGCTCGCGACTGTCCTTGATGCACTGGGGTAACCTAAATAGGCCTCCCACAAACTCCCAAATTTATACTCTGAGTCTTATCTCTCTTTCAAACACACACACACACACACACACACACACACACACACACACACACACACACACACACACACACACACACACACACACACACACAGGGTGGAGGCTAAAATCAGGCTGTAAGGCACATGCTGTAAGGTACTGCTGAGTTAAGTCACCTGTGCTGCTAGCTTAGCTTGCTAGCGGGCAGCCAGCTGCTCCTCTAATTAAGAGCCCACCTTCCAGCGGGGCCCACATATGGAGGGCTCTATAGCTCGGCGATTGTCTTATAATAGGCAGGAAGCAAAACACACAAGCCAAAGAAAAGATTCTTAAAGTTGAATGTGCCAGTTTAAAAAAAATGTAATAGTGGGTTATTTTTCTGATTTTGTAAAGATAACTGTCATAGGACCACCTTTTAGTCCACAAATAATGTACATTTAATATTTTCACACCGGTGCTTTCAACCCGCAGAGCAGATGAGACATTTAGTAGCACTTCTTGAATTCCAATGATTATGCTCACCGATTAATCAAACCACTTCACCACAGAGAGGAGATATACTTGATTGGATCTTCTGAGGTTAAATTTCGTTTAATATGCCCTAAATTGGCAGAATGGAGACAGAGCATATGATTCACTTTGTGGTGTCCCGGTGAGGCAAATCAAGGTGATTACCATAAATTATTTATAATGACATTCATTCAAAATAATAAGAATGTTTAGAAAAAGAAAAAAATATTTAATTGTTTGAGGGATTAAAAAATATTTAAAAGTTTGTTATTTGTAAACAAACAACCAGTTATTTATCTACAGTTTTTGTCCAAAAAACACAAACAAAAGAACGTCGGGGCAGGCAGTTCAACATAACTCGTGGTGTGTTCACAGTATGGTTGTTATAACACGTACAGGGCATAAATACGCATAGAACATAAATAAATGTATCATTACACTGATTCTTTGGTCAAAACTACATGTTATTGCCTTTTTTGTCTAAGGCCAGAACTAACGTCTGCTTCACTAAAACAAACACACAGACAGACAGTGACAAACACATGGACATGCATATACATTTGCACACCAATGACTCCACACAGACTCCCACACCTTTGCTAATTTTAGCGCCCAGTACCAACAAGCACACTGTGGTCATTTCAGGCTACAAAAGAAATGAGAAATGCATTAGTTGGTGCACGTATGCAGAGGACAGTGTACAATATGGTGTGTGCAAATGCAAAAGAGTGGATGTGTGTGTACAAAATAAGAGGCTGCCAGAACAAATGGTTACAGGTAAAATTACAGTTTTCAGAGCTAGAACCTAAACCGAACATAACAATAAAGATTCCTTTTTTTTTCTTGAGAAACAGGAAGAAGTTCCCTTGTCTGCACCTGCTTGGATGAAGTACTTTAAACCACAGAAGAAGGAGTCGGGGGAGAGTTAAGAGACAAGATTCACTCCATGCCTTGTTGTTTATACCTCAAATGTGTGCACTTAAGTCAACAGTACGTTGTTTACAGTGTAACTAGACCTGCCTCTGTTTAACTCATAAGTAGTAACTTAACTCATAAGTAGATATAATTGTAGTATATATATATATATATATATATATATATATATATATATATATATATATATATATATATATATATATATATATATATACATATATATATACACACACACACATAAAAAAAAAACTTGTACGTCGCTTTGGATAAAAGCGTCTGCGAAATGAATAAACATAAACATAAACATTACAGGGGAGGGACTATAAACCTTTACAACAGCCAGCCACTAGGGGGCAGATTGGTTGGTTGAAACTTCTATGTGTTGCATCCCTGTCTAGTTTGTCTATGTCTACGGAATTAAGTAAATGCGGTCATATTAGTCCTACCTCAAGTGGAGGAGTTTAAGTATCTCGGGGTCTTGTTCACGAGTGAGGGTAGGAGGGATCGGGAGATCGACAGGCAGATTGGTTCGGCATCTGCAGTGATGCGGACGCTGAGCCGATCTGTCGTGGTGAAGAGGGAGCTGAGCCAGAAAGCCAGGCTCTCGATTTACCGGTCGATCTATGTCCCAATCCTCACCTATGGTCATGAACTTTGGGTAATGACCGAAAGAACGAGATCGCGGATACAAGCGGCCGAAATGAGTTTCCTCCGTAGGGTGGCCGGGCTCAGCCTTAGAGATTGGGTGAGGAGCTCGGACATTCGGGAGGGACTCGGAGTAGAACCGCTACTTCTCCGGATGGAAAGGAGTCAGTTGAGGTGGTTTGGGCATCTGGTCAGGATGCCTCCTGGACGCCTCCCTGGGGAGGTGTTTTGGGCATGTCCTGCCGGCAGGAGGCCCCCGGGTCGACCCAGGACACGTTGGAGAGGTTACATCTCCAATCTGGTCCGGGAACGCCTTGGGGTCCTGCCGGAGGAGCTGGTGGAGGTGGCCGGGGAGAGGACGGTCTGGAGCTCCCTAGTTGGGATGCTGCCCCCGCGACCCGGACCCGGACCCGGATAAGCGGAGGAAGACGACGACGACGACTACGGTCATATTAGTGAATAATGATATTGAAGATAGTATAAAGTGGTTGATTTAATAAAATCAAATAAAACAATATTGGAAAACAAAAATATGAAGTTACTGATGTTACATATTTTATACATTATTCATATGAGTTCGTTTACAGATGATATTTTACTTTGAACTGTAGAAAAAAGGATCTTGATGAGGATATGTGTTTGGCTCTTTTAAAGTTGAGAAAGAAAGAAAATGTTCTCCTTCCTGCTTGTTTTTCAGTCACATTGGGCATCAACTTTGCATTTGTGGAGTGAATGTTGATTTTTGTACACAGAAATGAGAGAAATTTAAAAAAGAAGAAAACACTTTTATTTATTTGCACTGTTTTACGGGACTCGCAAATAGTAGCCAGTGTATTAATAAATGTGTGAATGTTTCCAAATTAATTTTAGGTTTCATCTTACAAATCTTACAAATCCGACAACATATGCGCACGTCATTTGCCACACTTCTCTGCACATAGAATATCAGAAGTGCCTCATTTTCAGCTGGGAACAAGCAGAGCTCGACTGCCCTTCGCCCTCATTTATAAAACCTGAATCTTCAACAAGCCTCTCTCTCTCTCTCTCTCTCCCTCTCTCTCTCTCTCTCTCTCTCTCTCTCTCTCCCGCTCTCTCTCTCTCTCTCCCTCTCTCTCTCTCTCTCTCTCTCTCTCCCTCTCTCTCTCTCTCTCTCTCTCTCTCTCTCTCTCTCTCTCTCTCCTTCTCTCTCTCTCTCTCTCTCTCTCCCTCTCTCTCTCTCTCTCCCTCTCTCCCTCTCCCTCTCTCTCTCTCTCTCTCTCTCGCTCTCTCTCTCTCTCTCTCTCGCTCTCTCTCTCTCTCTCTCTCTCTCTCTCTCTCTCTCCCACCCCCCGTCTCCCCCTGAGACGGGTACATAAAATAGATAATTTTCTTTATAAAACTATGAAAACAGTTCAGAAGAGATCGTTTATCCACACTTGTACAGGTCGAACAGCATTGCTGCTCATTCACATTTATTTTTCTTACATACAAATATTGTATTCATGTTCCACTTGACGTTATCTAACACACACACACCATCTATTATGTGTTTGTGTGTCTGTGTGGGTAAGGCAGTGTGTTGTGTGGGTACTGAGCACCCACTCGCTCACACAATGGGAGCGCTTTTTTTTTTTTTGCTTCCTTCAACAGTGCTTCTTGCCAACTTTATACACAACCAGATTAAAAGTACAAAAGAACCTTTGGAGCAGAGAAGAAGATGAAAAATGTGTTTTAAAAGGAATAAAAAAATAGGAAAAAAGAGGCATATCCCAAAACTCTGCTCTTGTTTCCGTTACAGGCAGCCATGTTTAGACAGTCATCCATTACGTCTGCTGCGTTCCCATACTGTCAGCTTTCAGAGAAGCCAAAGAGGCCGTGTCGGCTGAGGGCACTCGGCAGGCAGGAAGGAAGCAGCGCTCTTTCTGAACACTGCAGGACTTTAAAGGATGCATTGGAGGAGGAGATAGTGAACTATAATGTGCAGCTAAACCTGTTTAAATAGTGAGATGGAAGATTTTTTTAAAGAAGGAAGGCTGAAATGGCGCTGAAACACACTCACAAGGGAGACTGATTAAAACTGTGCTTTATTTTGTAGAATAATGCTTCAGATGCACGAGGGTGGCATTTGTGATGCCGTGTTTGTGTGTTTCAGTCTGACACAGGGCGCCTGTGTGTGTTGTCTGTGAGCATCTTACCTCTGGCCCAGTGTGTTCTGTCTGCGTTGTGCGATCAGTCATTTGGCAGTCTTTCATCTTCAGGGCAGCTTTGGCACTTTCCTGAATACAAAACAAACACACATCCATAAGTCGTGTCCACCTCTCAGCGAAATACACCAGATGAGAGCCACCACTCTCCCAGCAGGCTCGCCTTTCAATACTTTTTCGCACAGCGAGCTTCAATATTTCTAATACAACGAAATATCTGATGAAACTTCTGTCGTGTTTTCTGGAAACCTAAATACTCTGAAAACAAGGAGAAGTTTTCACAGCCAGATTCTTTGAGGGTCAGTCAACAAAGTGGAGAGGATTACTGTGGTATTTCACACGGAACATAAAAAGCTAAAGCTAGAAAGATCCCTCCAGAAGATGATTAACTGGTTTCTTTTGACAGATTTACAGATGAAGGTGTAGTCAGAGGAGCACTGACCCTTTTCTTAAAAGTACAGCAATTTTACCTTGACCAAGAGCCAGCCAACTCCTCTTCTACCTGTACGTGATTGTTTTTAAAACGTAGGTCGCAAGCCCTAGGAGGCACTCGGCACCGTTTCTGCCGGGAGCCCTTTACGACGTTGTCACTAATCATTCTGACATTTTCTCCCAACACCACTTGTGGTGAACAGAACGGGTTGAAAGTTACATTGGCTATGACATATGGAGAAATTGATTAACCTCAATTAAAATTAATTGCTCAAATTAAAACAAGGTTTATGGTAAGGAGAATGAAAGGGAAGTATTTACGCTAAAGCTCTAAATCCACATTTACTGTCCTCTTCAAATTCAGTACAAGCGAGGTCGCAGATGGGAGTTAGAAAGCCGTTTTCATTAATCATGGCTGACTAAGAGAAACGCAATGAGGCTTTCTTGGGCTGAATGTTGCAGTTTGAGTACCATCCAAGATAGAGGGAAACTCATAAAAAGTGAAAGCTTGTGATGGCCAGCCAGCTAGCAAGTCCCTCTATAAGATAATTAATGGGTTTTCCCTGGCAGATTTACAGACGCGGAGCAGAATGAGGGGAGCAGTGGCTACGAGCTGCCCTTTCCCACAAATGTTGCACTTTAACTTCGCTTTGGCTGGACAACTTTCCTCTAAAACTTCCACACACAGACAATACACACCCTCACCAAAGTTCAAGAGCATAACACTCACATAATGGTGCAGCTTCATAAATTTGAAGCAATGCCTCTGCCCTGTGTACCAAGGGCAGGTGGTGAAGATAGAAGTAAGGTAAAGCAGTGGCTGCAGTGAGGGTGCCACCATGTACTCATCACCACAAACATGTTCACTACTGTTTATCTCTTATTTCTTTATATTTTGCTTTCAATGACATTGATTTTACTGTACTTTATGGTGGTCTTGAGTTGGTCTTTGAAAATTTTTCTTTCGATTTAGCCCATTTCGGTAACCTATTAAAGCTATTTGAAATTCAGACCTTGAATTTGTCCTTTTCCAGAAAGACTGGAATTCCATTTAATCATTCGTAGACTCACTGATCTTGACTCATGACAGGGAAGGTTGTTGTTTAAACATCCAGGAAACAGCGCATAACATCTCGACTAGAGGAGGCTAACTGTTAGCATTAGCAACTTCACCACATAGCAGAAGCTCCTCTAGGCTTGTGTTATTTGTGGAGATAAAACATCAATGTTGCAAGTCGGTGGTAGAGTCACGGTGCTGTTATTCAATCCAAGAAGAGATGTCCAAGTATCAGGAAATAAGACTCCAAATCCTGCTGTCTGGAGCTCAGCTGTGATGTGGGTAACTTCTAGTTCCTGAAAATGGATTAACCCTCTCAGGCTCTAAATGAGTTTTGATAAAAGGACGAACAACTAAGTCCTTCAGGAACACTTCTGAGTTAAAAAATGCTCATGAAATACGTATGTGGAGTATCCAGGTAGGTTGGTTTTAACTGTTGCAAATCTGCAACGCCTGCCTCCAGAGGCTTAACTGTATACTCCCCGCCCTCCAGCATGACTTACAGGGCATTCCTTCCTATTAGAGGCCACTGCAAATGTACTGATTAAATGAGCGTCTCACATCTTTTGACCAGCAATAAAGCAAGACAAGTAAGGGCCTGTCCACACGTAGCGGGGATCTGCCAAAACGTAGATATTTTTCTACGTTTTGGCCTGTCATCCACACGAAAACGGAGTTTTTTCACATGAAAACGGATCTTTTTAAAAACTCCGGCCAAAGTGAAGATCTGCGTTTTCCTCCGTTTTGGGTGTCTGCGTGTGGACAGGCAAAACCGGAGTTTTAAGGTCCGCAACGTCACTTTCCGCGACAAAAAATGCTGACATCACATGTGCGACCTGTGTTTACACTAGCCGACAACATGGATAGCCCTCAGAGCTGCGCTCGCTTTATCATTTGTCCAAGCGCCTTTTGCTTGTTTGTTTTTGCAAGCGGAATTACTGCTCCTTGCGGAAGACCACAGACGAAGGACGAGGTTAAGAACGGGGGAAGTACTGCCGCCTACAGGTCTGGCATGTCCTTAACAACGTATTTATCCGGGTACGTGTGGACAGTTTTTTTTAAACGAGGTGGTGTGGATGCAAGTTTTTGAGGGGCGGATATTCGTTTTAAAAAAAAACCGGCTACGTGTGGACTAAGTCATCTCAAATCTATGAATCAGTTTGTATGGAAAGAAAAAAAAACATGTGTCTATATACTTTGTTACAAACAGATACATTCTGCATTGTTTCTTTAGTTTAAAAACTGTTTTTTTGACCTTAACAACGTTTTAGTATAACTTAAATCTTCCTGAACCTGGACACAGTTGAACCATACACCAATAAGAATCGCAGGTCCTATTCAGCATTTTGCGGAATTCTTTTCTTTTTACTGCTTGACAAGGATCTTCCTTTTCCAATGCTACACATCAGCTGTAAAGCTGTAAGGAACTTTACAATGTAGCTGGCACTACATTCAGTATTGTGCTAAGGTAAGCCAAAGGCAGATGCCCTAACAAGTCCAGACTTCCTACATAAGGCCCAGCGGTGCCTGTCCATGCTGCCCTTCTGCAAGTACAAATTCAGACTTCAGCAGAAATGTCAGCAGCTTAAAGACTAAAGTCTTATTTCTGAGCCAACTTGTAGACAGTATACTAACTTGGCCACCTCCAAACGTCAACTAATGCTCAGCATATGCCTGCAGCTTGGAATGAAGGCAGGCAATGATTCTTGTGTCTGCCTGGTCCAGAGTGTACTGCAGCTTGTTTCCATCCCAACAGACCTTCAGAGATCCTTCGTCTGTCTGTTATATATGCCACATCTCCATCCCCCCCGAGGAGGTTCCTCCCTCAATTATCAGACCCGTTTCCTGGCCTTCTCCTAAAGGAGTTCTTTTTGTGTTGTCTCGGGTAACTTTTTGCACATCCTTGCCTGTCCGCCTCCAGGCTGCCCCCTGAAAATTGAGGCCTCCAGGATTCTGCCCCTGAAAGTGTGCTGCTCATCTCGTCAGCTCCAAGGCCACCAGCCTGTCGGGCTGACCTCCAGGCCGCCTCGCTGACTTGTGAGGCTCCTTCGTGTTTCACAGTAAATTTACTTCTCTGAGCTTGAAACTTGAAACCCTGAGTTTTGTGACAACTCCAGTGGAAAGAGATCTAAAAACACACACAAGACATGTCATACTCTAATCTCTTGTGTGACTCAATAATATATAACAAAATGAAAAGTTTAGAAAATGTTGTAAACTTGAAAACAAAAGCTGTTTTTGTATCTTATTTTCACTCCTTCTCAGAACTTCAGATGATCTCCTTGGAGAAAGTATTTGATTATACCACACATTAGCTGCAGACACAGACCTAACTCATTTAGGTCATACGCATTTACTTATAAGCAACAAGCAAGCATCTTTCCAGATGGTTAAATTCTAATTTGTAGGTTTATTTAATCTTTACAGACATTAAGGAGAAGGGCCTTCATAATCACTAAGATTCCCAGCACATGTAGAAAAACAAATACAAATAAAGCAGGGAAGAAAATCATTTCTGAAGGTTGTGTAGCCTCATTAAGGTGTTAGGTGTGGGAACATCAATTATATTTTATTATATGACAACAGGAATTTCAAAGAGAATTTGCTTAACTTGGTATTAAATCAGCTGCAGTAAATACAGCTGAATTTAAAAAAAACATAAAGATGGGGGTTACTGACAGAAAGATGGAGAGAGACGATGACAAGAAATGAAAGAGAGGGATAAAAGTAATGCAGGTGCCAAAAAGTGATCAAACAAACAGATGTCGTATGAGAGTCAAGTCAGTGGGTTGTGCTGGCATCGCTCAATGCTTTAACACCGACACATTATTCTGCTAAGGCCTGGCATAATGTCTGCATTCCATTACTTTGATAGAGCAGGTGACAAATTACAGACATGTGGATGACAAATTATGATAGATTTTGCTGTATGGAACATTTCTGCAGCTGTTCCAGAAAAAATAAATCAAGCTTTCAAAACACTGGGGGGGGGGGGGGGGGGGGGGGGAGACAGCAAAAGACAATATATTTGGTATTTAAGTCTTCATATTTCATGTGTATGATATGGATGTTCAACTAGGAAGTAGCAACTTGCTTCCAGTCCAAGAAAAAACATTTTATAACGCTGACATTTCTGTTTTTGTCCAAATTGTTCGGTTTTTCAATGAAACAGGCATGAAACGGTGATTTCTACCAACAAAGATGGAAAAGACAGGTTTTCTGCTGCCACACCACGCAAAAGCTGCGAGGTGACTAAAACGTTTTTACAACCTCATTCTTTCATTTCTTTCTTCTAGCATTTTCTAGTGATTTTTTGTCACTCTTCTTTCAGCACTATGGTCTTGAAAAGCAGAAGAGTTGTAGCTCTTTGAATAAAACGTCTCAGTTTTTGAAAATGCTTTATTTACCCATTAGAGGGAAAAGCTTTTAATAATTAAAACATCAAAGAGATGATGCGCTAAATAAGTCACAAAAATTCTAAAAAAGATATGTTTTGCTTTTCAGGATTAAAGCAGAGGTTTTTCTCAGAAGACACCAATTAGAGGCAGAGAAGGTTCACTGCACCTGAGGCTCTGCTGCCCACTTCTTGATTACGTTCATGAATGCCAATTACTGTAGAATGAAGGGACAAACCCTCTGCGCCATCATAGGTTTCTGAAGAGCTAAACTGAAGTCCAGTGGGTGTCTTCCACCTCCGCTATCTTGGGCGTCACACATCTCATCGCTCCCGAAAGTACAGAAATTGAGCTAAAGAGTGGGGCTGTGAGGGTGGGAGCAGATGATTGACACTCAACCAACTCAGAGTCGATGTAGCTATGAGCTAACTCAGCTAACCAAAGCTAACAGACTTTGGCGGGTGCTTTTAGCCAGAAAACCGCGGTAGAGCGACTCTGCCGAGGCCTTCCCTGGAGCAAGCAGGAGGGCAAGCTGCTAGCCCTGACGAATAAAAAGCACCCACCTCTAATTATTCATAATGCCAAGCTTTAATTACATCCAAACAGATCAGTTACAAAAATATTCAACTCAGGGTTGTAATGACAGTAGACTAGACCAGGCTGTAAACATGTTTATTTCTGCTGTTAAGTTGGCATTTTTAATATGGGAGTCAATGGGAACTTGCTCCTTTCTGGATCCAGCCCCTAGGGGATGAAAGGGGAACTGCAATTTTTGTCACTTTAGGCAGGCGGAGTTTGCCACCTCTAGCTGGTCAACAGTAGCCTGGCAAGCCAGACTACAAAAATATATTATGTAGTCTCGGTCGTGGGGCGGGTTCTACCCTTGTCTTTCAAACAACCTCTGCATGCTACTGGACAATGAACAGAATAGAGGGCCCTGATTAGCCCACAAAAGGGATAGAGCGCTGTGATTGGTCCACAATGCAGACAGAGTGCTGTGATTGGCCCATCATTGTGGACCAATCACAGCGCTCTATGGTTTACAGGGTAAAACTCACTTTTTTAAGATTTCTAAAAAAATCATACGTCATCCCTGAGAGGGGAAAGCTCCAGATTGCTGCTTTAATCTAAGATTCTATTAACTACACAACCATTTGGTAACAAGATCATCATCAGTTCAATCCGTCTAATTTAGAATTAATCATAATGAATCAAAAATGAATGGATGAGAAAAGAAAATTGTTATTTTGTACAAGACAAATTAAACAAAGATGTCAGACGTCACAAAAAAAAGTTGTGTTCAAATCAGAAGAAAAGGCACCAGTGGCCAAGTAATCATGTGACTATAAATAAGTGAATCTTACCAGTTCACTCTGGAGTCTGAGAATCATCTCATCTTTTTCTCTCAGTTGCTGCAGCAACACTTCCTCCCTGCTGAGCTCCTGAGCACAAGAAAAGCATCACCACGTTAAACATAATACAAAAGACAGCCATAATTTGTTTTGGGGATCGTATTCCCACAAAAAGCCAAACATACGCCAAAGATGATAACAACAGGCAGCAGTGTTTGTGTGTTTAGGCGTGTTGTATTTGTATTTATGAGTGTATTTGTTTCCTCGTCCTGCTTTGGTGTGTGCATGTGTAATAAAGTTGTCATTTTGTGCATGCTGCAGGAAAGCGATCTGCTCTCGCAACATCTCTGTGATAAACTTGATGTATCCGATGGTAGCCTCCCCGAGCACACACTTAAATATGACCTTCTGCTGTCAGGAGATATTACTGTGGGGAAGATGGAGAGGAGCTCCATAGACAGAGGGCGAAGGGAACAAAATAATAATAATGCTAATAAAAATAACATTATTCTTATGGCGACATTCACAAGTAATATAGACCGAGGGCTAAAAGAGGGATTTCATGAATGGTTCTAAAAACGTCTCTGAACCTCATCTTCACTGTCACGGATCTGTAACACCAAGACATCCTTCGACTCAACCGGGAGCCACCAGAGGACAGCTGACGGGGAGGTCAACAGTCAGAATCTGGACATAGCAGTCTTTATTCAAATATTACGTTTAATTCCAAAACTGACGGCTAGATAAACTGTCGATGGTGACGACAGACAAGAGTGAGAAAAAGAGAGACAAGAACTGAGTGAAAAGATGGACGGAACCAAATGACAGTCATTACCTCGTCATGGGCGTAATGCTGAAGAAGAGTAGAGGAGTAGGATAAGAGGAGGGGAAACCTAGGGAGAGGAGGGGGCACCGACAGGGAGAAGGAGAGGACGGAGAAGGCCTGAGGCTGGGTATGATGGTCCTAAACTATAGGGAGCTGGTGCTAGAGAGACCACAGGGAAGCATCGAGCTAAACCATCATCCTTTAAATGACCTTCCTGATGCAAAACCGGACAGCTAGCCTGGAATATTTCCTCCAGATACGTCAAAATTCAGAATGAGAAAAAAATGTGATCTGTGCATGATTACAGAGATAAACCCGTGTAAGCAAAATCTCCTATATGATGAATCTGTGGAAAAAAATATTAAACACACATAACTGCACTAGATGATTGACACATGAGTGAATTTATGTGTTTTGCATGTTTGTTCTTTGGTCATGTTTTTTTTTAAGTATGAGACATAGAAATGTTCACCATAACCCTCTGGAGGCAGGTGTTGCAGATTTGCAACGTTAATACCTACCTACCTGGTTACTCCACATGCGTATTTCATGAGTACCCCTGAAGGACTTAGTTGTTCGTCCTTTTATCAAAACTTATTTTGAGCCTGAGAGGGTTAAAGGGGCACACGCAAAATTTGTTTTACACATTTGACCCATCTTCTGGGGTGGTGGCGAGATGCAGACACGGCTTCGCTCGGGAACCATTTAGTGGTTTAACCCCCTAATCCAACCCCTTAATCCTGAGAGTCAAGAGGAGAGGGACAGGGTCCACTTTTTTAAGGAGAACTAGGCGATTTGCCTTGCTTTTAGCACCCCCTAGTGTCCTCTTGTAAAATCAAAATCAAAGTGTATCTCCTCGCTGTGCATTCATCTTATTAACACCTTGATCTAACAGCTGAAATCTCTCCCCAGGCTTCCTTTGTGTCTAGAAACGTGATTCATCACGAAATTAAACAAATCAGTGGTGTTCATGATCCAAAACATGCAGGAAACGTGCTGGAACCAGACTGCAGCGCCAGGCATGATTGCTCAATTTTTTAAAGTCCCAACAGAGTGGCCCGCCAGTCTGAAGTTGTAAGTGGAAAACTCTGGCCACAGAGGGCGGCTGGCCTTTCATTAATCCTGTAGAGACATTTTAGCACATACTAGCTTAAGACGATGATTTAAAAATATGAAAAAGTTCCTAAGTATGCCTTTAAAGTCTTTGCTCGATCTCCCAGTCTCAGGGCAGACACTCATACCACTAGGACACTGAGCTGATTTGTGTTGTACCTCAGATGCTATTAATGCACACATAGTTGATATAATTGCTAAAATACAAATGTTAGGTTTCTTCCAATTTTCCTCCTTTTTTAAGTGTAAATTGCACCAGTCTGAGACATTATTCGCTTTAAAAACTATTCAGAATAAGAGTCCTGGAAAAAACTACATGCATAAATGTCTTTTAATACCCTTCACAACAGGAGCATCTGTTAAATAAGCATAGACTACAACTAAACACAAATGCATGTGAAGAACCATGTGGCAGAGACAACAATTGGAAAAACATAAGACTATTTTGTTAGTTTTAAGACTGCAACAGACAGTAAAAATGGTCAAGGACAAGGACTTGAGATCATTGAATTAGACTATTTTTCTTTATCAACACTGAAAATTGGGCAAAATAAAGTTTACAAACGTGTGATTGTTTGGAAAAATGAATGTCCCTTAAAACTGATATCTGAAAGCAAGCTTGGGTTCAGACGTCCACTGACAAGTACTTGAAAATGTTTCCTTAAAAAAAAAATGGCTGTCTTATTTCCTTAAGTCTTCTCCAGTAAACACTTTCCACTCAAACTTGACAGCTACAGAGGTGCCAGCTACTTTCTGTGAATATTAAACACCATTACATAAAAAAAAAATCCATAACGTGATAAAGTTTTGACGATTTTGTTTACTGGCTTCCTCATTTGACGTGTCTAACCGATGAGGTCAGTGCGAAACTCCAGAAGGAACAAACTCAAATGCTCTCCCAAAGTGCCACGGTGATGATAAAACCTATAAAATACCTTTTCTCACAGGAAATAGGAAAACAATTAACAAAAACAAAACCCACTGGTGTTGAATAACAATTCAGCCCTTTTCCCTGCCTTCACGGTGGAGATAACGTTACTTATGAATACTAAGAGTGCTTTTTTTTCATGGAGCACAGACACTGACTAGCATGAGCAATTACTACATTTGTAAGCCTCTAAAATTAATCTCACCCAAATAGGAGTGACTAAATCCATAAAAACTCAAAAATGCCCTGTTTAAAAACATCTTAGAAGCTAGTTTCATGCCTGCTGGACATTTGTAAAACACATCCACTGTGGTCATCCGACTCAGCACCTCTTCTATACATTAACCTGCAAAAGTCAAACTCAAAAGGAGAAAAACATCAACAGTTTCAGCAGTGAAGTGAGAACGTTGCTGTGGTGGTGAAAGAAGCACGACAAAAAGCATTTAGTCTCCCATCAGGTGGCATTCCAACCAATTTTTCAAGGCTGAATTGAATACAGAGGTCTATGGCAGAAAAGTGGGGCATGTGAGTTTATTTCTAATGTGATTGGAATGGCCTCAGTAGGGAAAAATCTGATCAGAATCACTGAAGTGCATCCACTTCTGTAAAGAGATGTGCTTTTGTGAAGGACGGCTGAGGCTTCTTAATAACTTCAATCAGTAACCAGTTGAAGGAGCAAATAGCTGAATTGCTTTCCACCCCGGCTGAAGAAATTATTTACCTTCTTACCTTTTATTAGGAACCATTCCATCAGGGAATGTGTGTAGTAAGAAATACGGGAAAAACACCAGGACATTTCCTGTAAAGTGTGTGTGACCTAAAGCAGGTTAAGAGTTCCTGTATCGTGTGTGTGTGTGTGTGTGTGTGTGCGTGCGTGCGTGCATGCGTGCGTGTGTGTGTGTGTGTGTTAAAAAGAAGCCCAAAGGGACCTCTGGCTACATTTAAAAACGTCCTTATGTCCTATAGGTCAGCTCAGCTTCTCATCACTGCTTTGTTTTAAGTATAATGACAAAGTGCTGAAGCGTGTCTGAGGAGTATTTATTAAACATGTTATGGCCACCCGCCTGGCCACTTTGGATGCATGAGCCAGGATCACCCAGCCCTGGTGATCAGCCTGACACCTCCCCTCCTCCTCTCTTCCAGGCTGCTGAGGAGCACAGCTGAGATTAATCCCTCTGACGACCCACACCTGGGATAAAAAGGCTGAGCCTTCAGCAGTCTGGGAGGCAGCAGTCTATATTGTATTGGTTTTAAGGTTAACATCGTAGTTTACCGACTTTGGGATTTTAAAACACGCAGTGTGTTTGCAGTGCATTGGTTATTTTAATGTTGTTAAGTGGTTCTTTAAATGTTAAGTCTTGATTTTTGTTTGGCATCATTTTAATAATGTTCTCCATCTGTTTGTTTGCTTGTTTTTAAAACATTTTACGGCAGTTACACCCATTTTAAATCCACTGTCACATTTCGTATGTTACCCCCTCCTTCACATTTTAACAACACATGTCGAGGATGTAACATAGATGTTTTAGGACCGATATAAAAAAGCACAGGGTGGTGAGCTTTGAGATGATGTTTGAATGTTTCATACGGTTGCATAGAAACAAATGCAGTGTTTATGGGAGAAGTTTCACCAGCCCAATCAGTTATATTAGCAAATTTGTTGATTTGAAAGAACTTTATTTTTGTGTAGAACAAACAGCAAAATAATTCAGAGGAGTAGAATTCTCAGTTCAATCCATCCATGCATTTTCCTCCACTTTTCCAGGGTCAGGTCAGGGGGCAGCAGCCATTGTACAGAGAGTTGTAGACTTCCCTCTCCCCAACCACTTGGGCCAGCTCCTCGGGGGAATCCCACGGCGTTCCCATGCCAGCCGAGAGAAATGGTCCCTCCAGCGTGTCCTGGGAGTAAACCTGGCTGTTGTAAACATGGGCACTTCCAAACACACCAAACCAGTTGTTGGACTACTTAAACAATAACCTACTTTCCTGATAAACCGTATGAATGAGTGCCTAATAGTGAGGTATCCATCCATCCATCCATTGTCTGAACCCGCTTTGTCCATGTAGCGTTCTGGGGGGGGGGGGGGGGGGGGCTATCTCCAGCAGTCAATGGGCAATCAGGCGGGGTACACCCTGGACAGAGAGCCAGCCCGTCGCAGGGCAACACAGAGACACACTTACACCTAAGGACAATTTAGACAGACCAATTAACCTAACAGTCGT